CAGAACAGAAGGCTAACCCAAGTGCTACGGTGACAGAACGATCAAAACCTAATCACAATATTCCAAGAATTAATATCGCACTACCATAAATTCAAACTGAAATCATCATCAACACTACCCCCAATCACAGTGCTATTTCTATCAATCTTCACCTAATCGGACATCTCCAAATTCATTCTTATATCACAAACTAATCATTCAAATCCCCGTTAATTATTGACCCTCGGTGTGTGAACAGTACCCGTGAACAGTACCCGTGAACAGTGATCCGCAGTGAACAGTGACGGAAACTTCAAAAATTTGGGCAAGACACTAGCTAATCTCACGGGATTTTCTCTATAAATTCACAACAACCCAATTCCAAGCTAATTTACACTTAAACCACACTTAAAAACATAGCTCAAAGCTACCAAAATTCATCCCACCTTCCAGCACAATTTCACCTAAGTTTCTTCCATTTTCGGACAGCAAAAAGGGCAATTCAAAAGCAGAAAATCCACTCAACACAAAGCAACAATTACATGGATAAATTGGACTTGGAAGAGCCGGCAACTTACCAGAATTTTCCGGCAAGAACCGGAGCTAGCAGGGGAAGAAGAAGCCGGCGGCAGAGAAGAAGAAATTCTGCAGGGGAACTCGCGGCTACCCAATCCAAAAACCAAAACACAATTCAAGGTAAACCCAAGCCAAATTAAAGTTGAAAAGGTGAAGTTTATGGCTGTGGCTTACCGAAAAAGGCCCAGAAATTCAAACCCACACAAGCAGAGGCCGACGGACAGAGGGGAGAAGACAGCGCAGATCTGGAATTTCCAGCAAGGAGGGGGGATTTCTGGGTTCAAGAACAAGAAAAGAAGGAGAAAACCCCCAAGCTTTGCTGGATTTCCGGCCGGAAATGGGTGGCGGTAGTTGGGGGGCTTCTCGGGTGCAGGGGGTCGGGGGGCAGAGCATCGGGGAGAAGAAGAAGATAAGGATGAGCAAAACACGTGGCTGAGGAGAGAAATATCAGCCTTGATCCTTATCCTAATTTTCTTTTTTTTTAACCCCTCAACTTTTAAAAATTTTACGATTAACCCCCAAGACAATATTTTCCCTCAAATAAGTCCCTTATGCTAAAATATCTCCAAAATTTTGGGATATTACACAAGTGGAACACGTTCCCGCTACAGACGGCAGATGATTCACTCATATTTTATCACACGAGAGTTTTCTAGTTCTTACCTCGTAATAATTGAGATTATTTCCTTGCATTTTGATACAATCTCCATTCAACATTAGTTTCTGTAGGTTTTTTTATATAATAAAATAAAAATATAATAATTAATTTATAAAATTTTATTTTTTTAAATTTTATTTAAATAATGATTAATTAAGGATATATATTAATTTTGTTAATAAATTATTCTATTTTTATTTTATTA